CTTCTTTTTTTATATATACCTATTCTTTTTCAATCATTCTTATATTTCTAGTGTCCTGACTGTGTCATACCTATGTAAGTATCACTTTGAATGTTTTTCAAAATGCCAATAAAATTAAAAATATTTGGTTGCGGAGAATTAAATGAACTATTCAATTTTCTATAGACTTACTATAACTTGTTATCTTTACAAATTTTCTGTCGGAGAATCATTTTAAAAACATTGCCGCAACTTACATTGTTATATTTACCAATCTAAATTATTTTTACTATAACCATATAAATCATAGAAAAATGAAATAATATTTTATTATAAAAGCAGTGATAATTATTAGTTATTTATAAAGTTAAATAATACTATGAGTTTGAATTTTACATGAATTGAATGATAGAAATCATTAATTTTTTGTACCTTCATAGGTACATCCAAACTAAATTTTATCATTATATGTTACTTCTTTTAAGTAATAAAAATAGTTTTAACTTCCTTCATCCTTGAGTTTCCATGTTTATTTCTTCTGTAATTTTTCCAGCTTCTATCTCTGCTTTATTAAAATATCCCCATACCATATTAGTCATCTAAATAAATACCTACAACTTATATCTGATTATTAGCAGATAAAATGATAACATTTTTATTAATTTTACTAGAATTTCTTGTTTTGTATAAGTTTTAGTATTGGAATTTTAATTCAACTCATCAATTGCCACAATTACCTAGTTCACAAGGCATCACTCGGACAACGTAATTTTTAAAATATTTTGAGCCAAACAACATACATTGTTGATTTTACATTAATTTTATTAAGATTTTGTTTGTATAGATCTGTTAGGGAACTATTAAAAGTATAAAAAATATTTATGTTTAAAAATCAATTGATAAAACAAAACCTACTAATACATAACTGCCTACTTACATAATTAAGTATTAAAATTATTCAATTTTCAGTATGAACTTGAGTTGTTCWCTATGGGTCTGAATAATCAACCATCCCATCAATTATATGGAATTATGGAATACATGTGTTATCAAACATTTTTGTACGTCAAAGAGTACCCACACACATCGAGATAAAGAATACACACGCATTGTGTCGCCTAATTAATTTAATATGTTTAATATGAATCATGAATGATTCATGACCAGTAATAATGGTAGATACCCCTACTAAACTTTTATCATATTTGGATGAACAATTTTGTTATGTTATCACAATACTTATTACAATGTAACAATATGTACCACCTGTTTGTTTATTTTTTCATTTAATACGGTCTAAAAAACAATACCGAAGTACATACATATTATATAATTCATTATAAAAAAAAAAAAAACATTTATTGTTATTATTTAAAACTGCAATATTATCACACAATTAGCTTAATACTTTTAAATTTATTGCTTTCAGAGATCACAACCTAAACTTTGTATGATGTCCCATATTATGTAAACATTACAATGTTTTAGTTTTAAACTTAACAGTTATCATAACTATTTGTGTTTTAAGGTTTTTTTATAATGTTTCTTAATTATTAATAATATAAATAGTAAATACCAAGCCTGAGCAAGTTAATGGTAATTTGTAACTAAGTTATGTTAAGTTGATTGAAAACATTTTAAAAAGTTTAAAGTTAA